AATAATATAATGTTGATAACACTATTATAATTGTTGGTAATTATATCGTAAACTTTTATATATGTACATAATATGTATAACATTTTAATGTTCCATTAAAATTACAATAATTATCGCTTAAGTATAGCACAAACTTTCGTGTATTTTTTGTGAAAAAAGGTGTTAGAGTAAAACGTTGAAATAATTGGGAGTTTTGATGTCATTACTATAAATTGTACAGAAAAATTGGATAAAAGTATTAACCTTATTTCCCTTATACATATACATTATACCTTATTATATACGGTAAATCTATAAAAGGAGATTAAAAGTTAAAATTCTAAATTAGAATTTTAGTGCGTACATAAATAAAAAAAATAATAACGATTATTTAAAAGCGAATTAAGGACGAAAATAGTAAATAAACAATAGAGGATTATGTTATTTATAGTTTATCCGATAATATGAAATAAAATGAGCTTAACCGTAAACCTTTAATTTAGGTGCTGCTCTATAATTATATAAACTTGATTTACTTAATTTTAACACCAATTTTATTAGAGGAACATAAAAAACAATAACCTCAATAAAGTACTTTGATTCTGATTACCATTTTATTCCGTGAATTATAGGTTAGGACTTTCTAAACAAACCTATATAAAATTTTCAAAAATAGGAACATTAAAAACCTAATAGCATTTTTCCGACGAATAACAGCCCTAAAATTTTCAAATGAAATCAGAACTTACACCATTTGTTTCAACAACTTGTAAGAAACAAAATTTCAATTAAGTGATACGTTTTCGAAATCACTAAATTTTGAGGCTATATTTAATTATAACTTAATAGCTTAAAATTAATTCTTAAATAGCTTTAATAATCATTCATAAATTTTCATATTATTGTTTACTAAAATTTGCATATCTTCATATTACATACGTGGTTTGTTTTTCTGCAAAAATATATTCAAATATTAATGCTTACAAATATAGTGAAGAATTCAAATTAATATGCTCGACTTCATGTACGGAGAGCAACCTACTAAGAATTTTGAATATTTGCCAATATAATAAACAGATGTCTCTATGGAATGACAATTTTAAGTTTATTATTACGCCAATACGCAGAATTGAGATCTTGAAGACTTGAAACACATTGGTTTTTTTTGACATAAATATTTTGTCTAAACAATTTCGATTCCATTCTTTGAATAAATTATTTAAATTGTCTTAATATTTCAAAACATGCATAAATTACGATTTTTATTACTAGCTAATTGCTTATTTTTTGCTAAAATTGTCAACCTTTATATATAATGTTCTAAATATACGAACTATAAAATAAATATATGATTGCACAGGTTCGTCTTATAAGCTTTTGTATTCGCTGGTATTGAATAAATAAATTGCTGTCAAGTTTAAATTAATTCCAAATTACAAATTGTAATTGATTACAAATTTAAATTAAAAAATTTTACATTTACATTTTGATTTTAAAGCATAAGTAATAAAGAAAATTTGACTCATATTTAATTAAATTTAAGCAAATTAATTGAAAATTTAAATTTAAATTAATTATGTTCACTTTCTTGTTACCTTACACGTAAAGCCTCTATGTTGATTTAACAGAAATTTAAAACCAATTCGAAATTCGAATAAATTTCAAATTTTATGACAAAAGTATTTCCCTACGTTCTTTTAAAATTTATTACTAAAAAATTACTGCTATCAATTTGGCTTCTGTCAATTCTGAGTTTAAAATCTGTTTTTGAAATACCTAGCCTTAATTGTTGCTTACCAAGTACTAGAACCTGTCAAACCACTCTATAGAAACTGCACGAATATGTCTGATCCATAATTGGACACACAACTGCCAAGTTTTATGAAACTAACTTTATTACTTTTCCGAATATTTTAAATTTTGCTTTTGGATTTGTAAGACAAAGATCCCTGCTATCAACTTAGGAAATTTTGTAAGGTAATAAGAGCATTATTCAATAAGAATATTTTTATAACAGAATGCTGGTTTCCTTTTTACTTAAAACTAAAGCTGTTAAAAATTTTAATTGTTACGTGAAAAAGTGCTATTTTAGAAGCACTTATAAATTTGATCGACTAAATTTTTAATCAAATATAAATAAAATATTAAACGTAAAAAATTGAAAAAAATTATGAATAAAATATAAAAATCAACTATGCGAATTAAAATATACAGTTAAAACAACGATTACACATAAAGTGTTCCTCATAACCCAATTTTGTAATGTTTCGTGCCGTGGTGACAACACAATATCATTTTCGAAATGCAATTTTTAACATAAAAATTCAGAAATACCACCATATACAAAAATAAAAAATTTTAAATCTGATTTGAAAAAATATTTCTGTTCAATGCCTACATACGTCATATTGTTTTATAGACACGCTAATTAGTAAACATAATTGCATTAACAATTTTTACTCATTTATTTACATTTTTCAATGATATAGAATATTTTGATGTAAAAATATAATTTTAGCATTTTAAAACATGAAAATAAAAATTGAATATATGTAAAATTTTTAATGCAATAATAAATGCAAATCATCAGCTGGTGCATATTTTAAAAAAAAATAAAATTTGCAAACGAATTTAAAATTGATTTTTATTTTACGATTATTTCCAGATTGAATTAAAACAAAAACAATTTGCGATGATATCTTTACAAAACAGCTGACTATCAACTGCAAGACTGGTAGTTTTTATATTACTCGTATGTTTGAAAATTAAAACATGTTTTTAGTCTACGGTGATGCATAATATTTGAATAATATGTGGTATGAAGGGAAAAATTATAAAAATTATAAAAATTACAGTAAATTCTATATATTATTGTTTTTTAATGACAGTAAAATTTTAGGCAGATGTGTGGGCAAAGCAAATTTTCATTCAGCTTGACATTTTAAATTTGAGAAATTATGATAGTAAAACTACTGTTATAAAAATGCAATAAACCAATATTTTTGTAAAAAAAATTAAAAATGTTAAAACAATTTATGCTAGACACTATAAAAGTGATAGGATTTGTCAGGAACTTACTGTACTAATAATGTATTCAATGCAAAAATTATTTTAAAATTCGTTGTTAAAATTATAAATTAAAATGTTTTTGTACATGCACAGAGTAACAATTGCCAGTGTTAAACTCATTCGTGATAAGTTGCTTAAAAAATTTATGTAATAAAATGTTATAAAATAGAAAATTTCAACAAATAGAAGAGATAAATATTTTTTAATACAAAGGTACTTGTGATATTAAAAAAAAATGGAATTATGTTCATCTAAAATTAAATCAAGCCATGTTAGAACATTAATATTTAATCATTCATATGAAGACATATTAATTAAATCTACAAGGTTTTAGTCAGATATTATAAATTTTATATGAATCAAACTTCAATTTTAGCATCCTTAATAATATTCGTACGTTATTTAAAGTAAAGTAACCAATTAGTTTTCAAAGCTCATATAAACTATATCATATTGAATTATGAATATAGCGAATCGACTTAAAATTTTCGCTCAAATTCAAAATTTTATAAATTTCTACTATTAAGTGTTCTTATGTTTTCTCATTTATCTTTTATTCTCCCAGAAATAACTTCTAGTAATTCATGCGAACTATAAGTTAACTGTACAACATACACAAGTTCAAATATTTTATTTGCTTTTTACAACATTCACACTTTAACCAAATAAAATCCCCTTTAACTTAATTATTTTCGGTTAATTTAATTTTCCCATAATGCGAATATCATGTCCATACCACAATTTAATACAAAAGAACAAGAGAATAATCTTACGAATTGAACAAAATTCTTAACCCAAAATACCCAAAAAACTTAGTACCCGAAAATAATTATACATTAGTTTACAGTTCATCTGTTACCAGTTAACAGCACATCACAATTACAGTAATTTAATGAAAGTCATATACATTCACACATCCATACATACATGCATATATGTATAAGTAATTGAAATTGATATGCGGAAATTTTATGTTTAATTAAAGATTGTAAACTTTTTTTGCACCCCGGAAATTTTAATTGAAGCGTAACGCCTTCTATTTTTGTTTTTCTTCTTCATATTTTACTCATCATTTTACAGTAAATTCATTCATACAATTTTTTTTGAAAGAAGAGAAGAAGCCCCATAGAAGAAAAATTTTCTCATTAATTCTGTTAAACTTATTTGGTTTTCGTTTTTTTTTTGCTATGCATTTAATCTTATAAGGCGTTTTGTTTATTAAGAATATTTTAAAGCTCTATTCTGGTTCTTTATAGAGTAGCAAATTTATATGATGGTTATTAAAGAACCGATTAACATGCAATAATGTACATAAATGTACGTACAAGTGTTATAAGTTATTTGTTCTAATTAATTAATGTGCTGAAATTTGCTGGTAATTTGTACTAAAATTAAGACAATTTATGAAACACTGGTGAATTGTATTGAACAAAGTAAAACGTACTTATATTTACATTATGTTCGTACATATTGTGGTACGGTTAAAGTTGGGAGATACGTAGCACTCAAAGGCACTTAGAGGGCATACTTTCAGGAGAAAAGAATAATGTTTTTTCAGGTTTAGCACATGATAAAAAGGAAATGTGCAAACTATTAGAATTATTGAAATCACCTCGAGAATAAGAATCCTTGGTACGTATATTATTTTTTTTAATTTCAGCAACTTACCAATATTAGTTCGATAATAAAATCGACAGCACGTGAAACAATCGACTTTTATATTAAGACTGAAATATATTGTACTTAAAACTTAAGTCGAATTTAGGTAAAAATATTTTAATTATCGAAAATTTAAATAATAAAAATTTAATAATAAAATCGAAATTTAAATAATCGATTCTTTCGTTGTACCACTTCTGATATAATGCATATTATTAAGTGTACTTAAAATGTAAAAGAAAAATATTTGTTCCAATAAATAAAAATATAAAAAAAAATTTCATAATACTTACGAAAAAATCATCTTCAATCACAGGATCAGCTAACAGTTCAATGGCTTCAGTCATCGAATGACATGTTCGACTATTCTTTTTCTTTTTTAATTTTCTTCCCAGAGTAGCAGCATCACTAAAACGATGTAATAATTTTTCACGTTTTCTAACAACAGCTGGACTTGATGTCCCTTGACTTGAATGACATAACAATGATGAATAATTATTACTGGATGAATTAACAACTACTGCTGTTGATTGTGGACTTTGGTAATAGCTTTGAATTTGGTTTTCATTTTTTTGGGATTGTGTTATTATACTATTTATATCAGAGATCGGATATTTATTTAATATTGGTGATGATTGTAATATTTTTTTTGGTTGTGTTTGATATGTTTGTATAATTGGACCAGCCGATACCGTATGTATTAATGGTTGATGTTTTGTTATATTTGGCGGTGGTGGTGGTGGTACATTCATTAATGATTTACGACGTGGTGCAGCAATTGGCATTGAATTTGTTGTTGTTGAACCACTATATGACGTTGAACGTCTTGAATGTTCAGAATCTTTGTCTCTGTAAGTAAAGAAAAAAGAATACATAAGAAATAATTATTGTAGATTAAAACAGCAATTGTACAAATGTCAATCAATGACAAAGTGAATTTTAACAGTTATAGTCATTTTTTTAATATTCAGAATCAGAATTTTGTTAAGCAATAAAGTACTGTAATATTTACATTAATGAAATATCTTAATAATGGTTTTTTAAAATTGTTTTCAATTAACCATTTATGCTTTCCTATTACTCGCGATATTTGATTGGTGGATAATGTACCTGCATAATATTGTTACTTATTTGACAAAAAAGTTGAATTTCAGTTTTCATTTTCAATTGCAACCGAAATTATTGAAATGACATAAGCATCTACAAAGTTTGGTTCCAGATTTGCATTTTTATCACAGTTTCATTTTGTGTAAAATTTAAAATTTGAGAATTTTACAATCCGGTCAAGTAATCGTCGGAATATTAAATATAACAATAAATATAGTTAATGACTCATGTCGATATTTTCACAAACGATAAACTCTAAAGTTAAAAATTAAAATTTATTGTCAAAAATGCACTCAAATAATTCACAAATTTGAACCCATTTCGTGTTGATAAATCAATATTTAATAGAAAAAAACTTTAAGGTGTTTGAAAATAAATCAATTAAATAAAAAATACAAAAAAAAAAAAATAGAAACACTCCTACATTTAAAAATTTCAAAAAGTAATAAAAGCATTAAGTAAATATCAAAAAAATCCAAAAATTTTTTAAATAATGAGGAAAAAAAAAGCACCAATAATTTCATAATTAGTAAAACGCAACCGTAAAAATCAAAATAAATAATGGCAAAGTATTACAAATCCATTAAAGAGGAAATTACAATCACCTTCTATTTCTTTTATTTGGGTTTTCTGTCGACTTTTTTGTTTTGTTTATAATACAATAATTACTTCACCTTTAAAGTGTAAGTGATTATATTGGAGTATTTAATAGCCTCTAATGTTATTTGCCTTTTGGTCCTCTATATTTCAGGTGGAAAGAAAAAAAAATCAGATTTAAAAGACCATAACACCTTATTAATAATTTTGAACTTTCAAAAATTGTAGAGAAACTTGGTTTGAATTTTGTGTTTCTCTTTAAGTTTTTCTTTAAAATTAATAAGACATCCACTTTAATGGATTTAGCCTTGAATTCATTAAAATATAATAGTCAAAAATAAATACATTGTTATGTGCCGAAATAATAAGAGCAAGTGGCGGTTGTATGAAAAAAAATTAAATATGTAATAAGAAAACTGAACTCAATTCAGTTAAATAATTGCCTCTTTCCTTCACTATTTCATTGTTAGTTTCTTCAATTCCACAAAATTTACTAGATAAACTTACAATTTTTTTTTTTTTTTTGCGTTTTACCATTACATTCGAGTCAAACATACTTAAATAAGTTTAAGATTTGTAAGTTCAATACCTATGTAATTTTATCGTATATACAATGTGTTCATATATACACAATCATACAAACAAACTAGTAAAAGATTACGGTTATTGGTTATGGTATTAATTGACTTAACCATTAGCCCAAAAGCGATTAATATATGTGTGCATTATAAAGACTAAAAATGATTCAGAAAAGTTGTAAGAAAAAATAATTGAAAAAGAAAAAAAAATTTTTTTATTCCAACATTTTAAAATGTCTTATTCAATTATTGTGGTCCACTGATCATTCAAAATAATTTAAATAGCTTAATCTTGAAAGCATGTATAAAGAAAAATAAAAATTTAGAAGCGGAAAATTATTAATAGAAATTGTGCATAGTAAAATATTTTTTAACCCATTGAACCCGTTGTTAGAGAGTTTTATCAGAGGGTAACTGCATGTAATGCATGGTAGTATCTTACATGTACATATATTTGTTGAATATCTGTGGCGATTGAAGAATAATTTTACAATAATTAATTATTAAATTTTTGCAAATGAAAATAGAAATTCCTCTCATGAGACTGTGCAAATTATTTATTTAATTCAATATGGGTACTTAAATAAAACTTTTAAAATTAGGTACGTAAATTTATAATGCATTAAATATGCATTATAAATTTAATTTATCATTCAAATAATAAATAATTTCATTGTATGAAACTGTAAGTAATTTAAGGTAAACATGACCTACATATGTCTTTCTCAAACATTAAAAAATATGGAATTAGAATTTTGATTTTCACCTGAATTAATTTTAAAATGCGGATTAACAATAAAACTGAAAATATATTCAATAAATTCTTAAGTCCAATCTTGTGGTATTTGTATCAGTTCTCCTTATAGACAATATTAATAACATGATTAAAGTAAAGTACGAACGTTGAATAAATTAACTTTCAAACATTACCGCTTCAATGTGTCACTCTTTTTTGTTCAATGAAATGTTTATTGCAAAAATTTTTTAAAAGAAAACAAATCTAAAAAAAAAAAATTTAATTTACTACAGTAGAGTTCGATTTTGAAACATGAAATTATTTCTGAAATCATTTAGCACGCAACGGGTTAATTTTTTTTTTCTATTCTTCTATGACATAGAAAATTAACTGCGCATTCTTTAAGATTAAAACAATAGTTAAAATAACTTTATGGAATTTGAATAAGATATAAGATTTAAATATTAAAAATAATTTATTTAATATTAATAATTTGCGCCAATCAAATATCATGCTTGTATGTTTGCTTATGCATAACAAATAAAAATTATACATATTAATTTGTTTGATAATTTTTTATAGCCCTAAGAAAGAAATTTTGTTCTACATATTATGTATGTATGTTCTATACTTATTTGTTGATTTTCTCCTAATCATTATAGATAATCTCATTAGAGAATATTATATGTATATATGTATGTATGTATGCCTATGCAGAACAAAACTCATTTTATTGGTTTTAATTAAATTATAGACTAAAGAACAGGATTTTTCAAAAGAAACTTGTATTAATCAAACTTCTATTTAATCAAACCTATAAATTTTTCATACAAAACGTATAATTTTGTATGATTGGTATGTTATATTGCTAAAAGTCATTTCATTAAAAACACTTGAAAAATTTACTCTATTATTTATAACAATAAAATTAAGTAGATCACAGAATTGATAGCATATTTTATAGAATTTTATTGAGCAATGTGTGGGCTGTGCAATTTTTACTTTTGCAATTATTGCTTTATTGTAAAACCGTTCAACTATTGTGTCAATCCAAATCTAATGCGTTAAATAAAAATTACAAACTGTTTGATTGCGAACATACAGATGCATGTGTGAAACATTTGAATATAAACCTACAAAATTCAAGTAAGCAATCAAACAGTTGCAAGACTGCAAATTACATGTATATCTGAGCCCTAAATCATTAATATAATAACAGAAAGCAGCGTTTAAAAAACACAACATTATAAAGAAATAATTAAAAATTTAAAATTTTAACAGAACTGAAACAACAAAATGAAGTTCTTTATCGGTTTTTACTAATAGCTTGCTAAATTTTATTAAATTTCCAAAATTTTTTAGTCAAACTTTATCGGATGTCTTCCTTACCTCAATTTAACTATTTAAAAGTTGTGTGGAAATTAAACCCAAGTTTTGGTGCTTGTTTAGAATACGGATTATTCAATTATACTTCACCATATTAAGGCTTTGTGCTATGTAAATTGATATAGGCAATGTGCTTATCATAAAACCTTTTATTTCTATAATAAACTTAATTTTTTTATTAACTTAAATTTTTTATTTTAATTATCTTCAATATTATAAGATTTCAACCACACTATCAAGGTTAAATCAAGTCAATTGTAACTTAATTCAAGTTATGGTAGATTAGCACTGACAAATGAACTTCTATAATGAAAACCACAACAAAAAAAAAATTATAAAAACAATAAAACATAAAAGTAAAATTAAAATTATGGTTGTCTCTGTTTAATATTATTTTTCTAAAAAAATAAAAAAAAAAATAAGATTGTCTATCACCATTAAAAATATTTCTGTTGGGATTTAATTTACGATACACACAATTCTACGGTGGTTTCCTTTTATTTCTTTTTCTTTTTTTGTAATTCTCTTTTATTATTAAGCCCGGATTGATGAAATTTAATCCCAATCTGAACAGTTGAAAAAATTGAAAATAAAAAATAAAATCGTATAGAAAAAATCAGGAATAGATAAAATTTGTTCTGTAAACTATGGGATATTTTTGTCTACCAATATAGAGAATGAATAATATTCCAAAAAATTTTAAGGTTAAAATCGGAAATAATTATTATTTACGAAATAAACCGCAACTTGAGACCCTTAAGTGCTCTCACAATTGAAATTTTAATAGATTTTCCATTCAACCATCCACAACACGACAACGTACTAACATCTTAAATTTCAATTATTATAGCTTAATCGGGTTCACTATGCTAAATTAATTTTTAAAAGTATAAAGGTTTAGGGCAATTGGTTCTTAGAGCAACTAATTTACATTAAGAGATCTTAATTAACTAATTCTTTGATTTGATACGTTAAAATTTTAGTAAAACAAATTTATAAAGCCAATTTTTAAACAGCTTTTTTTCTTCTACTTAGTAGCCAAAATATCATCCAACGGGAAAGCAATTTATACATACACATTCTAATTACAACAGCACTACATTCTAATTATCGGTTATATTCCTGACGAAGCGTGCAAAACAGCTAGTGATCTTCTTAAAGCCTTTATAATCATAACCCATTCATTTACATGAAATTATGTTCGAAAAGTTAATGGGCATTGACTGAATTATTGATTTGAATAAAAATTCTATGCAAAATTTGATATTTTTCTGTGTTTTTCTTTATATTTAAAGGCAAATTAATTAAAAATTGAAACAGGGATAAAATACTTACAAATTATTGTCTTCTTTCTCTACAATAGCACAAATTGAGAAACAAGTTTATAATACCAGTCCTATATAAACAACACTAAGAGTACAGGGCTTGAACTCATAGTTCAAATG